TCAAAAGGTTGGATTAATGGTGTCTAAAAACCCTTCTTCAATTTGTTATTTCAGCTTAATCAATGCAAGTCTATGATCCTGCAAGGCTTTGTCTCATGCTTACACACACAAACCACATAAAATGTGATTTTAGGTAAAGACTGTACATGTTTGTGATCCAGAACCTTTTTTGTAATATCATGTTCTCTCTATCTGTTCATGGTGGGTTCGAGTAGTAAAACCATAATTTGTTGGATGAATAGGGGAAGACGGTTTCCCGGGGACGTAGGGGGTAGGAACTATGAATTGGGTAAGTGGCTCTCGTAGCCATTCTTTTTGAGTGGGTGTAGAACCCACCCGTTTGTCGTTAGCCATGTATATTTGTTTAACGTCGTGCATTTTATTTTTGCCAAGTCATAATAAATTTTGTAAATACTCTTTTTCGAGGTTATCGACAACATCAAGACAGCAATCGAGAAAGTTTGTCCTGGTGCTCATTGTGAAGATCTCTATTTCCTTCTGGTAGTGTTTCTTTCCTTTTATTTTCTGCTGATTTACTTACCCTTGTGAAAACTTACGTAACAAAGGGTCCTTAAACCTCTTATGAGTTGTTTTCTTATATAATGTGAAATCATATCATATCAAAGAAAATATAGGAATGATTAGGGCTGTAAGCAGAGAATATCCGGCAGGGATACGAATCTGATTAAGTTTTATAATATCCTAATCCGTATCCGACGAATATTTACATAACTAAAAAACTACTGTACAAATAATAAATATTTGACCATAAAAATGATTCGAACAAAAATACGAATTCATAATGGACAAATACTCTGTAGAAGTAATGAGCCAAGTGTCAATGCATAATGGGCTGGATAACCCCCCATATGGCCTTACGCGATTTAGCAATTAAGTTTTGGTAGATATTGTGCAGGTATAGGCGTACACAATTGCTCTCCCCCCAAAAAAATTAAAGTAGGGGAGGGGTAGGGGTTCAACTAGTAGTCCATTTAAAAAAAATTGAAATTTGAAATGATCTTATAAGCCTTACCCTGCTCTATCATTTCTATTCATTGGGCCTTCTTTTTATTGTTCCATTTGTTGTTCGACTGTGTTCTACAACCACTCAAAATAGTGGCCTCGGAAAACATTCCCTCAATTGGGACACCTACCGTATTTCGTTCACAAAATTGATAGTTCTTACCCCTCTAATTCTCCATTAATTTCCACCCAGTCGATCTCGACCCCAACTCATCCCCTGATCAACTTATATTTTTTTAACGTCATGCATTTTATTTTTGTTTGTCTTAATAAATTTAGCAAATACTCTTTTTTTTCGGGATCCCCTAAGAGATGATTTTTTAATAACTATGAGGAACTGGAAGCAGGAAATACATGTTTTGATCCTAACTTTAAGCCTTTAGACACCGATGAACCTTTTTTTTTTTTTTTGCATTCGTCCATTTAGAAAGTTCATCATCTTCGGCTAGTATATATTTTGTTTTGTTTCATGTCAGACTTTGTTTTTGTTGGGATGTTTTACTTTCCCAATTTTTTTTAAAATGTTTTTGGATTTGTAATGTTCTATAATCTATTTTCATTTTTAAAAATGTTAAATGCACATTTTCATACTTTAAAATTGAGGCTTACGACTCAATACACCTTGAGGCTTACCAATCCGCCATAACATTAAAATGCCTCAAGACTGCAATACGCAATTTTGAACCTTGCATAGATGAATCTTCACATGCATGTCCAAAAGAAGCTGGTGCATATAGAAAGCAATAACCATTTTAAAAAAAAAAATCATTTTTAAAAAATCATTTAAAATAAAGTTCATCATATTTTATTGCCGTTTTCTTATGACCAATTAAACTGCCCTGCTCAAGCCTCGTAAGTTGGGATGAGAAATTTAATTCCGAACAAAGTGGTTATTGGTTTGAATTTCATGTAAGTAATTAACGATTTGCATGTCATAGTGCATTGCGTTTAGAGAAAATGAAAACCATTCGAACACGTTTTGCAAAATTTTCTTGTACTCCGGGTATTATACTCCGTATTATATATTGGGTTTATTTATCTATATTAAAAGTAGAGCTTAATTTTGATGGATAAAATTTCGGGATAATAAATATTGGTACGTAACGGACTCTAAATTAAAACTTGGGTGTTTGGGCTCCAACTATGTACTCCCTCCGTCTACAAATAAACTTTACGTTTACTATTCACAAGGTCAAACTTTATTCACTTTGTTGGCCTATTTTCGTCACCCATTTGATAAAATAATATAGTCATGTCACCTCTAGTTTTGTAGATTTTTTGTAATAGTTTTTTAATATGTAATTTTTATTTTTCAGTTATATACCATTTTTCATATAAAATGATTTGAAAATAACTTCAGTCAAACATCGTAACGCGCAATGTAAAGTTTATTTGTGGACGGAGGGAGTATATTTGAAGAATAAGTTCTTAATGTAATTTCATTTAGAATTTCTTAGTTTTTAGAAGTCAAAACCAAATAATAATCCTTTTCTGTTATTGTTTTGGTACGTACTGCACAATTTTTATCCATGCATAAACCATTTCCATTATCACAACTTATGCTTTAAAATTTTATGACCTTTGAATTATTATTATTATTATTATTATTATTATTATTATTATGAATATGATTATTATTAGGGTATTATATAGCCAACTATACGCACCCAACATGTCAATATTAAATACTTGAAACACAAAACAGTAATAAAACCACTCATTATAATTCATTAAAAAAACATAATAGCATAAATAACATCAAATCATGCAAGTGCATGAAAAAAGAAAATAACATTACAAACACTTAAGCATAACAATAAATAAGAACATAAGGGCGGACTAGCCCGACTTTATACTACTCCCTCCGTTCCACAAAACCCTTCCTCTTACGTTTTTTTGCTTTCCACAAAACACTTCCACTTTCTATTAAAAAACCACTTTTACCCCTACTTTTTCATACCCTACCTATTACATCATAGTTTTTCACTAATAACCAAACTATCACATCTTACTTTTTTCCATTACATCAGGGGCAAAATTGGAAAGTCAACCAAAATTACACTTTCCTTATTTTTCCCCAAAGTCAAAACCGGAAGGGTTTTGTGGAACAGAGGGAGTAGATTAATACATACAACTAATTAAATAGTGCGGGGCGGATTTGTTTTAGCTGGGGGCGGGGGCGAAGCAGTGGCATTGGGACATGGTGGCGCAGAAACTGGTGGTGGAGGCTGCGGGCGTGGCTGGGTGGTGTTGTTGCAGGG